CGTGGCTCCCCCCCCGGCCCTTTTCTGTTTGCACGTTGGGTTTGGGTCCGTGGAGTTTTGACTTGTTTGTGCATCCCGTGGAAATGCTCTGAGTGGTTCGTGTCACTAGTGAGGGGGGGCGCAGGGACGCCTCCCGGCCCCCGGCTGACCCCCACCCTGATTCCCACCCCTGACCCCCCACCATGACCTCCCCAGCCTCACGGCGTGCACACTGCTGCACGTGCATGCACACACGTGTGCATCCCTCCGTGCATGGTGCCAGCAGGCTCCTCACTGCCACGCGTGTTTGCACGTGTGTGTCACACCATGTATATGGCCTTGGTGAGATGTTCATGGCACACGTGTGCACATGTGTGTGCACCCCTCCATGCACAGTGCTGGCAGGATCATCGCTGCCACACGCGTGCACACGCATGTGTCACACTGTGCATGGTCTCAGATGTTCATGGCACACACGTGTGCACATGTGATCTCCTTTACACACACGTGTGCACACATGGCCCCGCCCCTCTGTGCACAATGTGCCAGGACCCCCCCTCACCCCTCCCCACATCCCCTGATGGGGAGCCTGAGGCAGTGGGTGGGGGTCCAAGTGTGTGTGCCCCCCTAGAGCTGGGGCTCTGTCCTGCCAGTGGTGCTCCCCCCTCCTCGATCCTGTCCCGTGTCATCCCTTGTGCCATTCCCCTAAGTGGTCCCTGGGGGTGGGGGCCGGGGGGCAGAGCCTGGTGTGAGGGTCCTGCTCTGTGTAGGGGTTTGGTGAGAGGGTCCTGCCTGTCACAGGGGTCCTGCCCGGTGTGGAGGTCCCGCCCATCACAGAGGTCTTTCCTGATGTCGGGGTTCCTACCCATGGTGGGGGTCCGTGGCGGGGGTCCTGCCCCCCGGGTAGTTGCGTGTTGGCCGTTAGCACCTGCCGTACGTTTCTGTTTGCTCATTAAAGACCGTTCACAGCCCGGCCCTGGTGCAGCCTGGGGAAACTGGGGGGTCTGGGGAAACTGGGGGGTCTGGGCATGCCCGGAGGGGTTGGTAAGCAGGGATTTGGCATCATCCCCACCGAGAACAGCCCCGACCCTACCAGGCCCTGGGACAGCAGCCCAGCACATGCATGTACGGGGACAGAGGTGCAGCCCCTGCGGGATGCCCTGGGATGAGCCGCCAGCACGTGGCCACCACGGCCCCACCAGGTCCGGCGTGTGGCCACCGGGCAGCACCAGGGGCCAGTGAGGCTCATGAGGCCAGCAGGAGCACCCACAGCCCTGATGTGGGGACACACGGTGTGGGGAGATGGGTTGTGGGGACACGGGAACACATGGGATGCGGGGACATGGGGACACAGGTGGTGGGGACACGGGGACACAGGTGGTGGGGACATGGGGACACATGGGATGTGGGGACACGGGGACACAGGTTGTGGGGACATGCATGGGGACACATGGGATGTGGGGACACGGGGACACAGGTTGTGGGGACATGCATGGGGACACATGGGATGTGGGGACACGGGGACACAGGCTGTGGGGACATGCATGGGGACACAGCTGCTCAGTTGCATGAACACACACACAGTGGGAGCAATGGGGTCGGGGGCCTAGGATCTGTAGGACGGGGGAGTGGGGGGTGCAGGGGTGTGCGACGGGTCCCGAAGGGTCCTGGGCTGAGTGTCCCAACGTCCGGGGGGGCCTCTGGGGATCAGCAGGGGGGATGTGGGGCTGCGGGGTGGGGAGGCAGGGG